TTATTAGTTTCTGTTCTTTTCTAAAGCAGAGGTAATTTGAATTCACCATCATAAACCGCAGGGTTTTTTTGTTTTTTTAAAAAACACACTTCTTCATGATCTGCCAATTAGGCTTGCATAATAGATTCATGGGACAGATGTGAATTGGTTTCAGTTTTCCCCAAGCTTTCTTTATTTTAGCTGAGACCTTTTAAATGACCAGTATTTTTCATCCCCTAACTTCTCAACAAAGTTTAAAACATGCCCAGCATAGACCAAACCTGCTTTGACTGTTTGCAAATTAATTTGAATAAACCTATATGAGTAAATTCATGTCTATGTACTTGGAAATCCAGAGATCAAGGAAAACCCATCAGTCAGCCAGTGCCTGTTTCTTCTCAGTTAGATAACTACGGGGCAATCTGTAGTCTTATTTCAAGCTGGCCAATAATTTGTTCTTTCCCTAAAATATCTGTTCCCCTATTCACAAGAAATAAGTAACTTGCTAGCTTTTTTTTAATGTATATGCATTTAAATATATGCATTTGCAAATATTTTTCTGCAGCTTTGCAACAAATCTCAGAGGGGAAGCTGTCTGATGGAGATGTTGATTGTTAAAAAAATGATGAACAAATGTATTGAGAATCTGAAGCACTTTACAATGTTACAATCAATGTTGCCTTCCAAATTTCTGTTATTTGTAAAGTCATACATTGGGGCATCTTGTAATGCCTTTTTGGATACCTTTTCTTAATCAGCTGGGAAACTAGGAGAAGAAGAAAATCCCATCATTATCACCAATAGAGCATCCCTAAATCACAAGTTATTGGATTCTTGCTAAATTTGAAATAGCCTTTCTTTGTTTAAAGATAAGATGGCATCAGCACAGCTACAAGTCACATTTATAATGCCCCTGTAGCAATGCTGCAACATTGTAGCCTGGAAGGGAGAAAAAGTCTGAGAAAGAGTGGTTTGAGAAAGAGTGGTTTCCTTTTTGTTATTGTTCCTATTAAATAGATACTTTATTTTTAAAAAAGCAACTTTGAAACTAACTGAAACATCACCTGGTAAATCAGTATAAATAAGTAATCACTTTAGACAATGTTGACAATATTTGACCAAGGAAATGGTAAACTATGTTTAAAAAGTTCTTATTTTCTACAATCGAGACTCAAAGTTGGATGGACCATTCATCTCTTTATATCCTGTATGCCAAATTACTTTAAATAAATAGCAAACTTTGGGGACGTGTAAAGGAGAACACAACTGAGGCAAGGAGAAAAATTATTTTTAAGAGTATGAATATAACATAACTCAAATATGATTGGGGGAGAGACTCAAACAGATTATTCAGTTTTGAGGAGAGTTGTTATTGGTTCCAATTACATCTTTCATCATTGCAAGTGGCTTTAAAGCCTCCACCACAATAATGAACTATCATATCCCCTCTCGTGACAATTTAATTTACATTAATTTACAATGTAAATGTACATTTAACTTACATTGCACAAAGCTTACTAAAGTAATTAACATCATATTTAGTTTGTTCTTAGGAGCAATAATGGACTGGAATTGTTTTTGTTTTTGTCCTGATGTAGTGACAACTAAAACTCTACTGAAAATAAATACTATTGCAATGGTAACTTTGTTGGAAATGGTTCTGAAAATGAAGAGATTGGAAAAACTATATATCCACTGCACTGGAACAACTCTGAGTGCCTCAAAAATGTCGTTAATGGGGCCCTCTTGTTTTACTGTTTTTCTCTTTTTCAAAGTTATATCCCGGGACAAATCTATTAAAGAGGCATCTATCAGTAGCAATTTGTCATGGTGGTTTAATATCAGTTCTATACATCATCCAAGTCAGCCTGCTCTTACACCTGATGAATATTTGAAAGCATATATATATATGTATCTGTAGAAATTGGGCTTATTTTTGGTCAATTATATACTTAGTCATGAACTTAAAAGGATTCAGATGAATGAATGAAGGGTTCAGACTGTTTCTCCTTTTGTCAAACACTACATATCCAACCTGATTCAGGAAGGATATGAAAATTTGCATTAATTTGAATATGGTCCACCTCTGCATGTTGTAAGAATCTTCTTTAATGCAACTTTGGATTTTGCTGAGCAATATGAACCAGGGGAAGGAAAGCATGCCTCTTTTTCATTCTCTATCTGATTGTGTAAAAGCTAATTCAGTTTTGTCAACAATCTATCATGAAATTCTGCATGTATTTAGTTCACTGCCTCAACAGGATTATAGTGTATTACTTGCTTAGAGAAGCAAAAGTAATTAATAGTGACTGAGAAATTCATTCTATGTGATTTTCCCCCTATATATTTATTCAGTTGGTACCCCTAAAAAACAAAGCATATTCTGATTCTTCTCATTTGATACTTTTTTCCCAAGCAATGATTTTGATGATTTTACGAATATTATTCCTGATTCTCTCAGCCAAGTTCCAGGCAAGATTTGTTCAGTTTAAATAATGTAGTTATTAACATTTTTAATATGATGCTGTACATTAAAGTCCCTGTAAGCACTCATTTTCGCCATATGTTAAACATATTGAGTGATTACCCTTACATTACTGATAGATGCTTTTAATCATCTCATCCTCATGGATTCCGTCCAGATCTAATCAAGTTAAGAAATGACTAATTGAAATCAATAGGGTGAATAGATCATAACTAACGTACTTTTGATTTCCATACACACTACAGAATGTATTGTAGGCATGGTCAGACATTAAATGCCAGACAGAAAATACATAGGGTAATGTATGATGGAACCAAATTTTAGATTTAGCTGATGACAACTAGCAGTAAGAAATGCTCTCTTAAGAAGAACAAGACCATTAGTAACTATTATGTACATGGATAATTGTTGAGCCACCTTACAAGATTCCATAGACAATGTATTTTATCCTTCAGGAGTCAGATAATTTCATTTCCTAATTTTGATTCTAAAAAGTACCAAACAGAAATACATAGGGTTTTTTTTCTGATCTGTATTTTTGTAGAAAATTCTGAATTTCCTTCCTTACACATATAGGGATAGAAATGAGTCTTTTATATGGAAGTGCAATATTAAGTATTCTTTTTCAGAAAGCACATTCAAGCAGTGCAAACAATATAAGCAGATTATTTTCTCAAGTAACCTCAGTCAGGTATCAAAAACTGTGAGCTTGTGTTCATGTAAACACTTTTGTGTCATGAGAACTGTTACTGCTTTGAGACAAAATAATATACCATCAAAATAAACAAGACATTGACCTGGAGCACTCTTATCTGACAGTAAAATCCCCTTTGAAAATTAATAGAATATTCTTTAAAATAAGTGAAGTATTGATGATGGAAAACAGGGTGTGCCACAACCTTTGATTTCAGATTCAAACATATTTGCTGGAATGTATGAAACAGCATGTCCTCATTCTGCTTTTTATAAATACTTATCTTTTTTGATAACCTAATACTCAAAAGCTAGGCATGGAGAGTATTTAGATTTTCCCACACTCTTGCCTTTATTTCATTGAATGAAAAGTGCTCAATAGTTTGGAAAAGGGGAGGGAATACCTTTTCCCATATCAATCTGTCCAAGCCATAAGTTCTTTCTCCAACTTTCTCTTTCATCAGAGTCACATTATATACCCACAATAGAAAAGGGTTTTCTTAGTAGGACTTCATGCCTATAATTGCCATATTTGCCTATTGCCATAGTTGCTATCTTTTTAAGATTACAAAAATGTATCTTGACTGATCCAAATATTTTGAATAATTGTAAAATATTTGAACGTCACAATGAGTAATTAAGACTTTATTAACTCTTGGTTTATTGTAATTCTAAAAGTGTAATCTGGTGTAATCCTAATCATGCAATGTATCTATGTACATAATTTACTATAGTTAGTACAAATCAAGTTTGTAGCAAGAATTAAAAAAAGGAATCCTTGAAGAATTACATCCACAGGATCCAGTCATCAGTCAGCTTTATAGAGCTTACTTTTATTGCTAAGCCTTAGCACTCTGATTTAAATGCTCTGACTTGATTCATTTATTTCATAAGATCTCACTAAAGATTGATTTATATTAGTAAATATTAACATTTTTGAATAGAAGCATCCCACAGAAAGAAAGCAATAGTCCACAAATGTGACCATATGATTTTAGTATGTCATAACTGATGTCATGATAAAAAACATTTAGATTTTAATTGCATTTAGAGAAAATAAAGAAAAACACAGTTACACAAACTCTACAAGTGAAGACAGAATAATGCAAAAGAAGTCCTATATGAGTTTTATATTAAAATGTATGCAAAACTTAAAAAATTGAGAATTATAAGTAGCTCCAGCCAGCATTTCTTCCAGATTTCAACTGAAAAACAGTGGCTACCCTTTATTTTATTTAGATGCACTTTGCTTAGATTTTTTTTGCATAGCTTTAAATATTGCGGCACCATGTCTCTCATGTCTCATAATGCTTGGAACAGTTTCCTTAAATAAAAAAACCTCAAAAATTTAAAATAAAATTTTACTTTTTCCCCAATACACATCATTTCTAATTTGTATAAATACATCATTTTAAACTCATCAGATCTGAGCAGCATGCATTCATATAATGACTGTACAATTTAAACAGAGTTGCAGACTTTCTACAATGTAAGTTTAATCAGCACAACCATTTTTGTTTCAACACACTGCTTGACAAAATCAAGCAGTGTGTTTCCTCCTGTTCCTGTGGAGGAAAAGAAAAATAATATTACAAAAACATTGAAAACAAAAATTCACAGTGCTCACCAGAATCCAAACTGGATTAAATATAAAATCAGTACAATTACTCTTATTTATTATTATTGGTTCTACATAGAAACAAATAGTTGACTCTTCAAAACTCTTTTGAAGCTAGCAAACAGATTTTTAATAGAGTCGCATCAATTAACCAGGGCACAAGCATCTGCTTTATCTTAATTAGACAGAGAGGTGAATGACCACTGTTTATTTTCACTTTCCTCATTAATTATGAAAAACTGCATTTAATTCATCTTGCATGGTGAGTGACTGGCTGCGCAGATGTAGATCGTAAGGGAAGTGAGACTCTGTAGGCAACCTGAATACAGAACTCTGCCCAAGGGGAGCCCTGGATGGCACTGCACAATAATGCATGCTATAATTGTAGTTTTTGCTATAGTCCAAACCTTCTTCTTGCTTGAGGGAGAATATCCCATTATAGTTAATTGGGGGAGGACTTAAGTGGCCTTCAAACTGTGGGCTGGAACACTCAGGAGACGTGCTTTCATAGAAAGATTCATATGGGTTGCAATAATTGTAGGGTTTCATGGACTTGAAACTGTCAAGCGTTCCATGACCTGGGGGAGTGTTCAGTTCTGGGCTGTGATAGGGTGGGTAGAAAGTAGAGTAGGGAGATCTGGTGTGATGGGCCGTTTCTCCTGCCTGACCCATTAAGAAACTTCTGGCATTCAGCTGTAGACATCCTGCCACCAAGTTTGTTGTTGGCTGGGAGAGACCTTGGCACAAGTTTTGGACAAATGACAGCAGATCAGGCCTCTTGCCAATTCGTAAGATTTCTGAAAGAGCCCATATGTAATTTTTTGCCAGCCTTAAGGTTTCAATTTTAGACAGCTTTTGTGTTTTGGAATAACAAGGGACCACTTTTCTTAAATTATCCAGTGCATCATTCAGGCCATGCATTCTATTTCTTTCCCTGGCATTCGCTTCCTGACGCCTAAATTTGACCCTATCCAGTCTCATCTTGGTCATTTTTTTTTTCCGAAGAGTTCTCCTCCTAGGCAAACCATTTTCATCCTCTTCCTCTCGGTTATCTACTTCCTCTTTTTCTGTGTCTTCTGCTGGAGATCTTTTAAAATTTGTTCCTTGGTGCATAATCTGTTTTACAAAGATTTCTGGCTTTTTAATTTGCTTTTGATCTTCATTTTCTCTGGAAAGATTTCTGCAGGTCTGGGACTCTTGAATTACAACAGATTCGTCAAACGGTAGCGTTAACATGATGTTATAATTTTATGTTACCTGAAAGAATGCCAATAGATGGTTTTAGTGTGTGTGTGTGTGAGTGAGTGAGTGAGTGAGTGAGAGAGAGAGAGAGAGAGAGAGAGAGAGAGAGAGAGAGAGAGAGAGAGAGAGAGAGAATGTACACACACATGAGACATATATATCTAATATACATAATCTATATATTCCAGACCTCTTCTCTTTATACATAGGACAATTAAAAACTATTATTTGCTATTTTTACAAATATATTTAATTCAAATATATAGATTCAAATGTGATGTAACAATCAGAATAAAACAATGACACTTTTAATACTTGTTAAAATTACTTCCCCCTTTTTAAAGTTTTTAAGGAACTCACAATATTTTTTAAAAATCATTTAATATGAATTTAATATAAAATAATAAGATAAATGCATATATTTGAAAAGTCCAATGATTTTGACTATTAAAAAGACAATAATTTTAAAACTTAAAATATTTTAAGCTGATGGGGAAAATCAACTTTTATATTACAATATTTTTCAAATATTTTAAGACAAATCATCACAATAAAGCTAAATCAATTGGAATAATTAAAATGTAAAAGAAGGTAAACAAATCATTCAGTGACTTAATTAAAGTGAAGAGGGAATTTTTAATGATCAGTATGAAAATGTGTGATACACCGATTATTATTATTATGGTAAAGTAGGTGTGGAGAAGTATATGCACAGAAAACATTTGGCAATACATTTTTTGTTCTTTCTTTATTTCAAAATGATAGCCTCAGAACCTAAACATTTTTTCCAATTCTACAATAAAGGTATTTGGGGTTCCCTCCCACCTTTTTAATAAAAATAAAAAAGACGCAAACCTAAGTCTTTTCGCACTTTTCTGTGGCATCTGTGTTCTTCAATTAACAGACGTTTCCCTCCAGCTAATATTTGACAGGAATAGTTTCAGGATTCTGATTGCAATTGTGCACGTGTGTTCTGAATCCGGAATGAAAAAAGGGGGAAATAAAAATCATTTGCTCCTCATTTTATTATTTCTGCCCCTGAGGTCACTTTTTAAAGAGCCTTTCAGGTTTGTCTAATAGATAAACACAAATTTATTAAAGAATTACAGAAGAAACTTTGAGTCAGAGGGAGGTTTTTCAATTTAAAAAACTAAATTAACTAAGCTCACCATCAAAATATTAACTCTCGGTATTATCCATACCATTCTGACAGTATTACATAATTGATGAAAGCATGTTAACATTTAAAAACAATGAAACAGAAGCAATATCAAATAACAGCATTGTTAAAACACAAGCGTTACCTTTTCTTTTTTTTTAAACTCTTGCATGCATGTTCAATGGCACCACTCAAATACACAGACACAAGCACATAGAAATATTTATTTACTGGCATTACCTTGGCCTTAAAATTCTGATTCAATTAACAGATTTCATTTTATTGGTTCCTTCCAAATCTTTTCAATCTGAATGTTGAATCGTCTTCTGGAGTCTAGATCTTGTATATCTGTACTATCTCATTGATCTCTAAAAAGTGACATTGATGCCAACTGCCAGAGCTAGTACCCATGCCATCTGCTGGTGACGTCACAGGGCAAAGAAAACCATGTGATATTTCCTCCTGGGACCTTCATTCTGCACTGATCATCTGGCATCTCTCTAAGTGGGTACCAGCATTCATGTATCAACACAGAAGGTTGGGCTGATAGGGAAGACAGAAAGCAGGGGCGGGGGGGGGGGCTACACCATCATTTTACATGCCGAGGTTAATTTTTGTGAGGCAGAAATGTCAACATTTCCCATTTATCTTTACCCACAGGTAACTGATAACTGATTTTTTTTAACTTGATACTCTGTTGATTTTATTGCAAAAGGGATTTTGGTATGTTAGTGAGAGTTATATACTCATATTCACTGACAATCCTTTTTTTTTCCAATGCGATCTGTAAAACTGAAAAGAATTTTGCCAATCTGACAGAGATTTCAAGGATATTAGAAATTGTTTCTAACCTAGCCTTGTTGGAGAAATTTCTCACTACTTGTAAAAAACAATTATTGATTCTGAATTGCTTATACTTATTTTCTCTTTCAATTCCCACCTTTGAAGTATTTCTAATGGAGGGGGGAAAAGGGGGTTCTAAGAAATTTCCCCAAATTAGTGTTTTTTTTTCTTGGTGCTCATATGCAGCCATTCTATAGTGTTTTCACTTAAGACAACAATATGATGCACATACACAAATGGTTTTAGTAGACTTCAAGAGAGACAGAGCATTTTTTTTCAGGGTTTCTTTAACACTCGTCTTTGGAAGTCATTAAAAAGTGATGTATGTTTTTGCTTCTAATTATTCCAATATTGTAACAGTTTATTTATCTTTGAAACATTCTCCCCACCCCTCTCTCTCCTGTTCACACAATCCATGTTCATTATTTTTCAGTGTTCTGTTTTCTTCTCCAACTTTTCTCCCAATTTGCTTCATTATTTGCAGGAGACAAGAAACCATTAAATCTGCCAATACAGCCAAAGATGCCAGAGTGTTACTGGCAAACTCCACTTTGCTTTTTCAGGAGGAATCAGCTTCAAGAAGTCACATATAGTTAACTTGCTGGTTATTATAGTTCTTTACATTGACATCATGATTTTAATCATTCTCAGTCGATTTAAATTTCATGTTAGCATATGAACTTATTAATATTGCATTATTATATTTCAACTTGGACTAATATTTTAAAAGAAATCAGGAAAAAAACACTCAACAATTGTGGCATTCTTTTCTAAATCTCTTAGTTAACTATTCCAGCATTTTCCACTTTTTTAATTTCATGGAAAATGAAGTAAGTTTTTCAATATAAATTACAAATTGTTAAAAAAGAAAAATTCTATATCTAGTAAATAGGGAACAAGCTTTTATTTCTCCTGGAGAATTTAAATAAATTCATTCCCATTTGCATTAAAAATTGATCTATAGTATTAAAAGAGAATTTAATAACTAGACAATTTGGGTATTAAAGTTTCTTTACCATGTGGAATGGGAAAAAGGAATGATTACCCTTAAGATTAGTTGTTCTGTTTGCTTCACCTAACTAAAACAAATGAAACAGGATATTTGTACCAATATCCCCTGTGGGGAGGTAAATGAGTAATGAACGTCATGTCTCTGTTTTGGGAGATTGTGTACGAGGTCTACATGACACAGGAAAGGGGTCTACGTGACACAGGGAGGCCAGGTACTTTGGGATGATCAATAAGTTGTCTAAGAGTATAAAAGACTGTAAACAACTGCCATTCGGGGTTCAGATTTTTGCTTGCCCAATTGCTACTGAACCTTTGCGCAAATAAACCTCTCCCTCTGACAAAGAACTGGTCTTGTCTCATTTTCTGCTAATGTTACTAATCAATAGTAATGAATTGTTTACAAACAATTGAAAAGTCAATTATTTTAAAAGTTGTTCTAAACAAAGCAGACACCATATATAGTAAATCAACTATCATGATGGAAAGTGTAATATTCCAAATCTATATATATTTTCCTTCATCCTCTTTTCCCCCCTAAAGGGTTTCCTATATAAAAGGATTGTGTTCATACTTCATATAGCAATTTCACTAGACATGCACACATTTATTTCATGTTATTTTTATCATAAAAAGGATGGTTTTTGAATGGCTTTTTAGCAATTTCCAAAGAAATTACTACAATGCAAAATGGTTGCAATATTAAGATTTTAAAATCATGCACTCTGCCCACCTAATATTTTTGCCTACTAAGTTTTCTTTAAAACACCTCAGTCCTAATATATTAATATTCATTCAAAATTTTACAACTAACACAAGTCAAATATATATTTAAAATAATGAAAAATATTTTTTCTGAGGACTGAGTAAACCATGTGCATGATGAAGAAATTATATGCACAGCTGTACTTCTTTTGCTATGTGGCAGGCTAATGCAATATTGAAATAGAAAATATTTGGAAGAAGACTGTTAGTCACTACTTCATCATTTTTCTTTAGAAATATTGTTTTTCCCCTGTCCAGGTTTAGAATCCTTGTAGCAGACATGCTACGAATTATAGGATTTAAACTATTAAAGTGTCAGGGACAAGGAAACTGATGAAAAAGTTTTGGAAAATCTTGATGAAGGTTAAGCAGATGAAGAATATGTATAGTAATTAAGTTCCAGTAAAGAGTGCTAGTATATTAAGACTGAAAAATAAGGCATACTTGTTGATTTTTAGTAGTTGTGAGTAGGAGGATAATTAAAGGTATTGCTGAAATATTCTAAAGGAAGTGCATCATTCCACGTGATACAAGTTTGTAAATTATTGAAGTCACTTTGAAAATAAAGTAAAATAAAAATAAAAATATCTCATACATGTATTTGAGGGTGTTGGAGAGAGTTGTGATCAGGTAACTGACCTGAACAAAGAGCAATGCAAAATGAATCATTTGCATGATACAATATTTCTGCTGATATTGATGCCATGGCCAAAGTCCTCCCTCATTGTCATGCATTCCTATTCCCTGGAGAATCTGCCAATTTCTGCTGTATGAAGAGGAAGACAAGGATAGGCAATTTGTAACTTCTACCTAATCAACATCTCAATTTATATAGCAATGAGGAACCTATTGCAAGCATAATCAGCTCCTATTGAATAATAAACAAAAAGCAGTATATGACTATACATGTACAAAACAATTTCTTCAACAATTTAACTGATGCACAGGAGGTACTGGAAACACATTTGCTATCAACTTCTCACTAAATTTAGGGAACAGGCAGATGTTGTTATTGCTGTAGCATTATCTCATATGCCTGTTGTAAACACAGCCATATAAGAATCAAGATACTCCTAAAAATGAATGGAAATGTTTTTGTAACAACAAAAGAACCTCAAATCCTGAAAATTGTTTCAATATGTGAAGCAATTGCCTGGAATGAGAATCCCATGATTAGAAAGGAGAGTAATGAATCTGTAGGTCAGCCACTTTGTGATAC